GGTCTTTGTCTAACAATGTATCTATATGACACAATATTAAGAAGAGATAAGGTACTCAAACACGTGAATTATTTACACTAATACCTATTTGGGATAACATTAAAATGCAATGTTTGGTAACATATCAGAGACTAAATGGCATGCTCAAGAATCTGTGTCACCTTACTAGGTTGCCAAAAATGGTTCAGAATTCCAACAATAAAAGTAATCCTACATAAGATACTTTATATATTTGTAAGTCTACTTTATCAGATAAAGAACCTTAGGAGATAATGAAAAGAAATATATCATTTGGAGTTATTACCAGAGGAAAAAAACTGGCACAAGCATTCAGAGAGAGTCTGAAGTGTTTTCAGGCATTTATATCAACAGGTGAATACAGAGTACAATAAGATATTAAGCAATCATTTGAAATCAATAATTGATAATAGTGGCCAATGCATTACAAACTTGAAGGCTGTCTCACAAAGATGCATCTCTAAGTGCTTACAAGAAAAACAGTAAGACATAGAATTACAAAAAATAATTAAGAAGCAATTTACATTAAACAAATGAAATTGAAATACCACTTGTATAAGTGTTGTTTAAATTAAATCCATTTACAGTCACAGCTTATCATATTGTTGTGCGCATGATACATCAAACATCCAGGGAGTTCTTTGTGAAGGGAATTCAATGAGTAGTACTACAATGGGATACCTGCCTCAGTACCCATGGGGGCCATTTTTAATGTCGTCTTCTACTTTGCCAGAACAAACAAATTCCAGAATTCAGAATTGTGTCAGCTTTGAGGTTCTCAGAGGGGCAAATTTAAAGATTATTGTCTGACGGGATGTGATGCTATGTATCTGATAGATGTTTACTGGAATTTCACAGGAATGTGCTGCCTCCATCTTCAGAATATTAAATTGCTCAGCATTCTTAAGTGGAAATATACTCGATAAAAATCAGAACTAATTCTTCCTAAGTTAATCGCCATAATCACAAGAGGCTGTTTGCTGTAGAAACAAAGTCTGCAAACTGATAACTTGAAATACTTTGGTGAAGTCAATTCATTCCTATATTATAAGCATTCAAATACTTCCAGTAGTAAGAATGTTTTATTTCTTTATCTTATTCTTTTGCCGTGTTCAATTAACTTGTATTCTGACAATGAGAGGTGGTACGATGAATGAAAAAGAGCATTTGTATTCTGTCCTAAGAGTCTGTCCTGTGATATCTCTGAAGAGACACAAGAAAGAAGAAATCTGCACAGAGACCTTCTACACACTTCCTTACATACAACTAACCCTGAGCTGGAAAAGCTCAGTCGGTGTAGTGACTGGCTATGGGCTGAATGGTTGAACCTCCTATCCAATGGGCGGGGGAGGGGGGCTTTTTCTCTGAGAGTAAAGCAATCAGGGCGTGAAGCTAACCGGTCCCCTCCAACTAGTGCCAATGTCAAGCATATGTGGTTCTATACCTCCATTCCTTGACAAGCCTTCAAAGTGTACAGCTTAATTAGTTAAGCACAAGGACAACTTTACATTCCTTTATGACTGACCTTAACTATTTTATCTGCAAAAAAGATCATTGTTAGATAGACTTGTTTTCTGATCGAACAACAATGAAGTCTGTCCAACCTGTTGAGCCAGTTTCAACATAATCAATATTTCTCATGCATGACCTTTGTAAGAATACTGTTATTTTCCTGAATATATCACCTATGTAGTTTAATTTATGAAGAGGACCTCCATAAATTATTGACACTTAATTACAGCCATTAGAGCAGTTTTTGATAACATCGCCATTTTGTTCTGAAGCCCATCTGAAGGGTCCTTATTTTTGGGGATGGAGTTTTTCATATTCACTGGGCACCAACCTATGACAGATAAACTTTTAAATAAGGAATATAAATAATATCTGCCTAAGCATTGTGGCACTAGCAAGACACAAGCCCATAGATATACACATCCATACATACATGTGCAAAGTCAGACAGAATACCAAAAATAACTTTTTTGTAATCAGGGGGAACTTAGACATGCAAAATCGTCAAAAACTTAGAGATCAATTTTTTTCAGCATCATAAAATATTTTACCACATATACTACCTACATGACAAGGTAATGGACCTTATATTGGATATATTTTCCTCAAAACTTTTGTGTGGGTCTCTTGACAGAAGTCTTACAAATGACTTTTCAAGACCATGAGAAACTGGCCAAGAAATCCCTTCTCAAGATTCATTACCATGCTGAAAATTTTCTGTCACTAGGCTATACTCCAAGCAAAGAGAATTGTGTCTACACTATTTAAATAATATTAATTTCAATACCATATCTCCATCTACAGCTAGGTTTCTCAAATTGTCTCTTCTTTTGGGGTTTTCTAACTGGAATGTTGTTTCTATTTCACATTTTCCCCATGTGTGTTACATGTTCTGCCCACCTCATCTTCCCTGATTAGATCTCTTTAATACTTGTTACTGAGCAAAAATTATTATGAAGGATCTCATCATGCAATTTACTCCATCTTCCTGTTACTTAATTATTCTTTCTTAGTTTCAAATATTCTCCTCAGCATCCTGAATCAATAGTTTTTCTTTATGATAAAAGGGCACATTTAATATAAACACGTATAAACCTCAAATCTTACACAGGTAAATTTGTTTTGTATATTTTAATTTCTGATTTTTGAATAGGAGAGTGGATATTAAATAAATTATAAACTGAATAGTAAAGTGCATTCAAAGACAAATACAAACCACTCCATCCAATGTGACACATATAAGTTTTTACTCACATGAAAACCTATCACCCTTACATGTTTCAGTCCTTATGGACCATCTTCGGAAGGAACATCATTACAAGCTGGAAACTACTATCACAATAGGTGTTTTGATTTAAATACATACACTTATATCCTATAACTTTTACAAATGTTACAATACCAGGAAGCTGCTGTGATTGTGAAACATTCGACTTTATGCGTACTGTGCATTATAGGATATAAGTGTCTGTATTTAAATCAAAACACCTACTGTGATAGTAGTTTCCAGCTTGTAATGATGTTCCCTCCGAAGATGGTCCATAAGGACCGAAACATGTAAGGGTGATAGGTTTTCATGTAGTAAAACTTATATGTCACATTGGACGGAGTGGTTTGTATTTGTAATAGTTAGTGTAACGGACCAGAATGAAACAAATAAAAAAAATGCATTCAAAGAATTTATTCTGCTCTTAACAATTCCATAAATGTGGTTCCAATTTGAAGATTACAGTCTTCCAAGTTGTACAAGTAATACTGTGTAGTTTTGAGGGGTACCAACGTTTAGGGGAAATATATCGCCTCCTTCTTCAGGGTTGAAAAGTAAGTCAAGTAAGAAACCAGCAGAAGCAGGTGACGAGCTGAGCTGAAAATGGACAGTAACACGTTACTCTGAAACGTCAGATTCTCTACAAACTACATGGTGTTACAAGCCACAAGACAATATTCTTCATAACCATGGCCTTGAGAGCCTCAAATACAGCGGTGTTTTGATTTGTTGCCTTCATTCCAAAATATTTTAACTTTGCCACATTCTTAAATTAGTATGCAGTTACACAAGGCATGCGCATGTGAATATGCCTTGGAGGTGAGTGGGCATCTTAAATAGCATGGCATTGCTTTTAAACTCTCCACTTAAAGTTCTAAGGTAATCTGGTTTGTAAATTTTGTGCAACATCTATCACAACAGGAAAGTTAATACAATCATATTCTTGGGTTTACTAATTTATTTATTTAATGACACTCTCAGTAAATAAGGCTATATGACATCAAATTATAGGGTGACTAGAGAATAACAAGTTGAAAATACGAAGCAGTTGTCACCTAATTTAAGATACTAACTCGTAATATTGTATCTTAGCATCGTGTTGCACATCACCAATTTATTCCTATTAGCCATTAGTACATATGCATATATACCATAAGAAACACCAATACATGTCATACACAAAATACTAATATGAGAGAGAAATATGGGCACATAGACTACAGCATATCCTAAAAACCGAACTTACGGATGGAAGCACAGGAGTTTCATCAGCAATTTTAGACACACCTGAAGATCACCAATGTTGATCAAAACAAGTAACATGATATAGAAGAGATTTTAAAGTTTAAAACTACAAAAGGTGTTAAAGAGTAAGTTGCATGTGAGATGGCTAATGGGTAACAGGAACATTAAGTGGGTATTTTTTGGGCGGTCTGGGGAAAACCACGAAAACATCAATCAAGATAGTCGATCTCAGAGCCAATATATGAACCCAAAGCTCCCAGAATACAAAAAAAGTTGTGCCACCCACTTGATCATGATGTTCACTGGGCTTAATAATTGACAATCTGAATATGTCAATTACATACAAGAACAGACTTTAATTATCTCAAGAATTTATGAACCTAAAATAAAGAAAACTACTGTGACATGTAGACCAGTTGCTAGGCAACGACTTTGAAATAAGCAACTATATAACGGTCATTACTAGGCAGTGTCCCATAAACAGTAACAGAGGAACTGTTTTCTATGCTGTCCATGTTGAGATGTTATAAGTAGGGAAAGTTAAGAGTTGGTGAGTTAGTGATTTAGATAACCACTGGGGTTCATTTGGCATCAACTGTTGCTGTGAGAAGATGGTAGCTGAAGCCAGGGACAGTTCAGGGACCCAGATAAAAGGAAGACGTCCGCTATTGGCAGACACTACCAAGCAACAGCAGTGAAAATGTGACTGTGGACACTAGTGTGTGTATGTGTACGTGTGACAGTGTGCTGTATATCCAAAGAGTCCAATAAATCCAACCATCAATCCAAAACACATCTATACTCACACTATCACATGACAATATAATTCTTCTAACCAAATTTTGAAATAAAATTTGAAAAGGAAATGGTTAAATTAGTTGCACTTCACTTTTGATTTCTTTTATCTGAAGTTACAAAGAAAACATGCAATAACAATATGTATCATGGCTTGTTCCAGAATTCTTCTGCCTTGAGGTGTAGCAGTAACTGAATGTCATCATGGTCCAGACATGGCACCTGGGAGCATGCGTGTCTCTTCTGCTTCTCATAAATATCACAAGCGCAAACGTAATCCCACTCCGAGAATTACATTTCAATCCTGACCGTTATTCCGAAAGTCGTGGAACTCGTGCTGATGAGGATTACCATTTGCCAAAAACAGTTAAACCAGAATTCTATAAAATAACACTAACACCAAATTTTGATAACTTTACTTTTATTGGTACAGTAGATATCACTGTAAGCGCACCAAATGGAACAGACTCTATCAGTCTTCATTATGACAAAATTACTGTTGATACAGTGATCGTGAGTTGTAACAATGTAGAAATACCTTTAAACGATAGTTATGTAGAAGCCACAAATATTTTCACACTCGAATTAGAGACACCACTCATATCTGAAGAAAGCTGCATAATTCACATTGACTACGAAGGTGTCCTCCATGATGACATGGCTGGTTTCTATAGAAGTTCTTATACAACTGCTGATGGTGAAGAAAGGTAGTATACATTATGATCAGCTGTAAATAACTTACAAAATATTTCAGGTCTCACGCATTGATACAAAATTTGTATCAATAAAATAATTTGAAAAGTGAAGAGTACCGTCTTCTGGGGTATAATGTCATGTAACCTGGTATACTGAACTGCTACAACACAGCGACATCAACACAAGAAGCAGATCATACACATATCATCATAAGAAAATCTGATGTACATCACTCCAAATAAACAACTTGTTTGGGTGACATACAGAATAACGAGCATAAGCTCCACAAGATGAGAGTAAGGTCAAGCCCACATGACTTAACTCATGTGAGAAGATCCTGATACGCATGCGCCCCACACTATAGTCGCTTCTACCACCAGAAAATCACGCCAACATGTAGCGGTCACAAACTTTTAAAGAGATTTATTGCAAAATACTTCATTTCCATTTTAGTACAATTTTATTTTGTATGCTTTAATCTTTAGTTTCTAATTTTTAAATGTTATTATCTGAATCAATAGTTTTTCTTTATGATAAGAGGTCACATTTAATATAAACAGGCATAAACCTCAAATCTTACACAAGTAAAATTAGTTTCATATATTTTAATTTATGATTTTTGTATAGGACAGTGGATAGTAAATAAGTTATAAACTTAATAGTAAAGTGCATTCAAAGAATTTATCAATTTAAAACCACTCAAGTGCACAATAAGGATCCTTATTGAAGAATTAGATGCAATTCAACAACTGAGTCTGCTATCATTGTACACCTGATGATGACCCAGTACAATAGTAGGATAGTGCCTACTTTGCTTTAAATAGAGAATATTGTTGTGTAGACTGCAAACTTCTGTATACATTTCGTGTACTTGGTACACAAGTACAAACTGCAGCCTGATAAAGGCTCACATCTGCACATTGCCTCTCTTTGTCCCTCAGAAAACAGACAAATGACACTTCAAACTCTAAAATTTTACAGTTTTATTGATTTATGATTTATCTGTCAATGCCGTAAGTACCTAAGACTATATCGCATCAAAGAAAGGATGATTAGTAAAGGCTGAACTGTAAAGGATGTAGAACGAAGTAGTCGTGGCCTATTTCAAGTTATTTTACCAAAATTCGCTTGCTGGGACTGAGGAAAACTACAGAAAACCCATAAAGATAGTCAGTGTCCAGCTGAGATCTGAACCTAAAATTTCTGAAATACGAATCAAATATATTACCTCCTAAGCTAGCTTTAGACTGCCTCTGTGGTCTAGTGGCAGATCCAGAGGTCCCGGATTCGATTCCCAGCGCTACCACATTCTCTGAGAAGTAGTGGGTCTGGAACGGGGTCCACTCAGCCTAGTGAGGATAATTAAGGAGCTGTTTCAAGGAAATAGCGGCTCTGGTCTAGAAAGCCGAGATTAATGGCCGTGGGGATTCATTGAGCTGACCACGTGACACCCTCTATCCACTAAAGTTGGCACTAACTTCGCTGAGAAGTGGTGGTCGCTAGGTCAGTATAGTTCGCTTGCGGACTACAGACCAAGGAGTTAGTTTAAGCTAGCTTTCTCAGTCAAACTTCTGAAAGAAAGATACACCTGCAGAAACCACATAATTTTGCACTGTATTCAACACGGTTCAATTAGAAATAAGACACAAAAAGCCATATTATACATGTAAAAGCTTGAGATGACGATGGAAGACGTTAGAGAGCTGAGAGCCATTCATGCACAATTTATCCTCTCCAATCCAACCATATTGCAGATGAAACCTTTTATGAAAAATAAATCCACAGTGTCAGTATTGATCCAGAACTTTAAATTTTGGAAGTGAACCAGCGGTTACTAAGCAAAGAGTGACTCCAAATTTAAATGAGATGTAATATCAAACACATTAAAAGTTCCAGTACTGAGTAGACAATAGTTCATTTTGTTTGTCTGTTGCACTGCATTGTTTTCTTATGAAGCTACATTTGAATCACTACATGTTTAGCCCAAGTTCTCATTCACTCCAAATAACTGCTGAGCTATATACCTGCCTGAAGTGTACAATCCAACATCATCCCCAAGCCCCCACAGAGATTAAAAGCATAAGCTGGGCCAAACAGAAACTGAATAGCAGTACAAATCCAAAAGAACTGTTACCCTGCTAAGTTAGGTTAGGTGTGATGGTCTCACAGTGGTGACTATGAAAATACTGTGATGATTTGTAGTCCAGTAGAAATTTACTGACATTTCGGTGGAATGCACTGCCTCCACTCTGAGTTCAAAAAGTAAACACCCAAGAAAAGAGCAAGAAGAATATTTTTATTTGACTTGCTTGTTTGGCTCTTTGACAATGCAGATGAAGGCAATACATTCCTCTGAAATGTCAGTCAACTTCCACCACATTACAGGGCTTCACATCAAATACCCAGTATTCTTTATTAGTATCATTAGTTTCATGTGAACTAACAAAGTGGGAAGATAAAAAAAACATTTCTTACATTTTATCACACCAAAACACTACATTAAGCTGTGTAAAGGTAAAGTTGTCCCTGTGCTTAACTAATTAAGCACTACACCATGAAGGCATATGGGGGAAGTGCATGTATAGGTCCACATTTTTTTGACCTCAGGACTAGCTGGAGGTAAGTGGTCAACTTCACGCTCTGGTCGCTTTACCCCAAGGGAAAGAGCCCCCAGTACCCATTGGATAGGAAGTTGAGTAGACCCCAGAGCCAGTCTGGACGCTGTGGAGAAGAAAGAATTCTTGACCCTACCAGGACTCGAACTCTGACCCTTCGGTCGCCAAGTACATAGCTACTCGCTGTACTGACTTTGCTATCCTTGCTCCTCCATTAAGCTGTGTAAAGTAAAGTAAAGTAAAGTAAAGGTTTCCACATTTTCTGGACAATTGGCTCATAGATGGCGGCAAGGTTGACAGCCTTACATGCCAGCCGACCTTTAGCCCCAAGAATAGTCTAAGGATCTTCCTGGTACTAATTTCTGTTAGAGGCTGAGTCGACCCCAGAGCCATAGTGCAGCTGGAAGGTTTAGGTCAATTGAAAAAAATCCAATGACCTCATTGGGACTTGAACACGCGACCTTCCAACATACAATAAGAAATTAGATTTTTAATAACTTACATATAAGTATGTCCTAAAATGACTGGATTACACAACTGCCTCATCTGTAGTGAACTACCACCTATACTATGTGATATGTTGTGTGAGCATACACAGTTGTTTCATATGGACATAGAACTGTTAATAAGCTAAGATGACCACACATCTTGATCTAATCCTAAGAGTCACAATGTCTGAAATTTCACCTCTATGATTCTTGCTCTTTTTCAAACCATAATAGCACTCATGCACATACAGCTCCAACTCACCTTTGTTATATCTATATTTATACAATTTCTGAGATCCTGATACTATTTTAATAAAATATCTCAAAGCTACATAACATGGTCTGAATATCACAGTATAATACAATCACACAGGAATCAACAGGAAGTAATAAATTTATTTCCAACGTTATATACAAAAAATGAACTCAGATGTTCTATTCTGGTCTACATGGGGGGAGGGGGGATATTGAACACAGAATCAAAATTAATTGAAATTTCCTTCTAAGTACACGCATGAATACTTTATTATTTCAGGTGGCTTGCTGCAACACAATTTGAGCCCACAGATGCTCGTAGGGCTTTCCCATGTTTTGACGAACCTGGACTGAAAGCTGCCTTCCAAATCAACATTAGAAGAACTAAGGACTTGAAATCAATCAGTAATATGAATTTGCTGTCCTCAAAAGAGTAAGTATTTGGAGAAGAGAGATATATATCAATAGCATACTTAACATTAAAGACAGAAATATCTATTGAAATAAATACACAAGGGCCATTCAGAAAGCAACCTCCGTTTATTTTAGACAACTAAAGTGGGAGCCAGGGAGAGCTTGTCTCATTGCCTTGTAAACCATCACATAACTGGTCAGTTAGTGTTTGTTCTTGTCTCTACATCATGTAGTTATGATGTGTTCTGCGAGCAGTAATTCCGCCAGCTGTGAAATTTGTGCTGTTATCCACTTTCTTTGCACTAAAAAAATTAATGCTGCAGAAATCTGTCATGAATTATATGCAGTTTATGGCCAAAATATAATGAGTGAAGAAACTATAAGACAATGGCGTAGAATGTTCAAAGATAGGCAAAGTGGTTGGCCATCTGTAAGAAGTGATTAGCTTGTTCAAAATGTTGACCAAAAAAATTAGTGAAAAATGGCACTTCATAATTTCAGAAGTTTCATGTGAATTTCCACAAATTTCATTTGTGAATGTTGAACCAAAAAAGCAGTCAAAGCAATGGATGCACACACATTCACCAAATACGATGAAAAATTTAAACAAACGCTGTCTGCCAGAAAGGTGGTATTTTTGGTATAAAACAACTTTTCTTTTCTCATTGCTTGTTTTGTTAACAGCTCACTGGAGGTTACTTTCTGAATAACCCCTGTACGAACTTTTTACAAAAGCTACCAATGAGCTCAATATATAGTGGCTGGTTGGTTAACAGCTGCTTAATCTCATACACACGCCTGTATAATGCACATGAAGGGTAAGAATGTAAGAAGAAACTTGGATGAATGAACCACCTTTAAAAAAGAGTAAATTTATTATTTAATTTCTGAAAGTGTACTTGAGAAGGAAGTAACAACTACATTTTATTACATATATTTTAAATGGACTATGCTGCTAAAATGATTTATTTCCAAATATCTATTGTTTAAAAAAAATGTGCCATAACTAATATTCCAGAAGACCCATAAATTACACTGTAAACATATCTATGAGAAAATAACAAAATGCATAAAATGTCACTTTAAATCTGAAATGAATTCAAGTAATTTGAACAGATTGAGACACAATTTTAAACTTGCAGACAAAATAAAAGGTTAAAAATATGTATAAGAATTGTTAATGGCAGAAAAAATTTTCAGCACTGCGGATGGTTTAGTAGAAGACTCATTTGCTGTATCACCACTGATGTCCACCTATCTGGTAGCCTTCATAGTCTCAGACTTCAAACAGCTGTCTCTAAATGATGACCATCATTTGTACCGCATTTGGGTAAAAGGAGATGCCTTAACACAAGCCAGTTACAGTATGTCTATCAGCCCTGGCATTATCGAGTTTATGGAAAACTTCACTGCAATTCAATATAAATTTCCAAAACTGGATCAAGCAGCAGTACCTGACTTTGCAGCTGGTGCCATGGAAAACTGGGGTCTTGTTACATACAGGTTGGTTCTTGTGACAAGAACATAGTTATGACTGTTTTTTTCTCTTTATTTGCCAATATTGTCAGAAGAACATCTTGCTAACAGTTTCCATAGAACAGAATAACATCTAAATAGCACTGGGATGTTATGCCATATATTCTCATGGAAGTTTACAAACGTTTTAAAGGAATGTACTGCTTCTGTCTTCAGGGTTGAAGAATAAACCAAGCAAGCAGTCTTTGTTGTCTGCTTAGCTTACGCTTTGAAGCTGAAGATGGACACAGTATGGCTCTCTACGTGCTGATAAACTTCTACAACACTATGTGTCACACCCCAGAAGTTTGTATTCTTCATACTTGTCTTCATGAGAACCTCAAATCTCATGAAATATGATTGTTATATTCATCAAACAATTAAAAATATTTTTTTAAAACAATTAAACCACATAGTTCTGCAGACATAACAGTGGCTACAATTTAGATTTGTGAATCTTATTAGTTTTAATTTATTTATCTTTTTTGTTAAGAAAATTAAAATTCAGTACATTGACATACATATGAGATATTTTCCATCATTTCATTCTGGTTAAAGGAACACAAAATTCTGGAACATATTACTTCCATGATTAGTTAAAGGCATGAAACTTCCTCTGTTTGGGCCACTGCATGTAACATCTCTACCCCCAGACAGGGAACCAAACTGAAAATAAAGTTATGGACTTTTCTATGGGTACTGAGTTCCATTACTTAATTACTTCTGGAAATTCCTTAAAAAGGTGTGACAAATGGATAAACGTTAAGGAATTATTAGTTAGTATCATATTTGTATCTGCAGAGAGAGACTGTTGCTGTACTCAGAAGGCACTTCAACAAGTTCCAACAAACAAAACATTGCTTCAGTGATTGCTCATGAGTTTGCACATCAGTGGTTTGGCGACCTGGTCAGTCCCCAATGGTGGGATTACCTCTGGCTGAATGAAGGCTTCGCTACTTACTTTGAGTTCTTTGCCACTCAAGCGGTAAGGAAATGACTTTTACCAACAATATAATTTTCCTCATGGATGACACACCTTGTTTGCTTATTTATCAACCTCAGTAAATTATTTCTAATAAAACACAGATAAACATATATGGTCACTGTGTAAGGTGAAAATAAATATAAACAGTGACCATATATGAAGAAAGTCGTCTTCTGGGATCTAGCGCCATGTATTCTTTGTATCAGCCGACGTTTCGGAGGAACGTATCGCCTCTGTCTTCAGGACAGGTGAATTGCATTGTGAATACAGAGAGCAGTAGCTGTAATGATTAGGAAGTGAAAAGCGCTTCTTTATACAGGAAATAGGCAGGGGGGGGTGGTTAGGGAGAGGGGACCAATGGGAATAGTGAAGAGCGATTAAGGCCATATATGGTCAGGGGGGCGGGAAAACGGCCAGTGAATCCAGGCAACTTGGAGGTCAATGTCACGGAGGTTGCAGTTAGACAAGAAGAACTGGTTGGCTGGGGACAGGTTACTGACGTCAATGACATGATTAAGAGGGGACAGGCTACTGATGTCAATGACATTAAGAAGAGCTGGGGTGACTTCCTAATCATTACAGCTACTGCTCTCTGTATTCACAATGCAATTCACCTGTCCTGAAGACAGAGGCGATACGTTCCTCCGAAACGTCGGCTGATACAAAGAATACATGGCGCTAGATCCCAGAAGACGACTTTCTTCATATATGGTCACTGTTTATATTTATTTTCACTGGCTGTACAGTTTCCACACTAATCAATGTCTGTTCTTCCTATAATGAAGGCATAATACATTTCACAACATGTTTCAGATTCAGCCTCACACATGATCAATATATGTGTGTTTCAGGTGGAGCCTAACTGGCGTCTAGATCATCAGTTTGTAGTGAATGCACACCAGAATGCGCTAGCAGCTGATTCTTCAGCTACAACCCATCCTATAACAGCTTCAGTGCATACCCCTGCACAAATCAATTCCATTTTTGATACCATCTCATATGATAAAGGTCAGTACTTTATGTTATGAAACAGAAACAGATACCAGTTACATGCAATAACACAGAGACTGAAAAGCCACATACATCAGTGCAAATTCCAAGTATCATACATGAAACAACCCCAAATTGAGTTCTTACAGGAATGATCATGAAGTGTATGATCTTCTGGGTTTTAATGCTGTAGAGCTCAGTATGAGTCCACCAACATTTTAGAGGCAATCCATTGCTTTGAAACACTGGTGCAGTTCCACCCAAATCAATGACGTTACAACCCAGAAAATCATATACTTCAAGGCCTATTTACCCTTCTGTGAACCCCTTTCCCCAAAAGAAAAACACCACCGCCAAAGTACACTCCTTCAAAAAACTCTTTTCTCTATGCACCATTCCCATTGAGTTGTATTGGATTTCATTCCATTACGTTCTCCATGGGTCTGAGTGAGCACCTTCCTAATTCCTCACTCTACATATTTCAACCCTGATGATGGAGGCTGAATTTTCCTCCAAACAACGGAATCTGCCTACAAGGCTAAATGGTGTCACAATCTAGAAGACCACAAGCTGAACCTCAGATTACACCGCAACAGAAATGAATTTCATGTTATTCTGTGAAAAAAACTTTTGCGGAATGAGGGTGTCACGTGGTCAGCGCAACAAATCCTCATGGTCTTTAATATCGGTTTTCTAGACTGGAGCTGCTATTTCCTTTTAATAGCTCCTACAACTATCATCACGAGACTGAGTTGACCCCGTTCCAGACCCACTACTTCTCAGAAAAAATCTGGTAGTGCCAGGAATTGAACTCAGACCTCTGGTTCTGTAGCCAGGAACTCTGACCACCAGACCACAGAGGTGGTTGTTATTCTGTGACTGCAAAGATATATCTACTATTACCACAGCACCATTACTCCCAATAAAGGAAATTTTAACAACAGGCATATGTTGTGACCAAACAGCCCAAGAGCAATATTCAGTTTCCTCTATTAACTTTTCTGAGGATTATATGCCTATAATATTAATTCATAAGTAAACTGAATTGAGTATTATAGGTTTAATTAGGCTTTGTTCATAAGCTTAGGTATTTGGCTACTCCTAATAATGTTATTTCTTACAGGATGAAAGTATATTTGAACTTAAGATTAACCCAACTTACAAATATGGGCTTCAGAATATAACCCATTCATAACTCAAGGATCAAATGTAGTTTGTTCCTTATTTGTCAACAAGTTCATTACAAATTAAAATCTTTCATTTATATAACTCCTTCAATGGTAGGGCGAATACCTACCAAGTTGTATGTAATAATAATATGATACATGAGGCCAAATTCAGTTCATACTGAAGTTAATACTAAAGTCAGTAATACTGTGATTCCTTCATAGCTGGTTCCATCATCAGGACTGCAGAGCACTTCCTGACACATAACACATTTGTGAAGGGACTCAGAAGATACTTAGGAATAAAGTAAGTTTTCCAGATGCAATAAGGAAACCTCATACATTTCTTGTTCAAGCTGATAAAGTGTTGATGGGAAATCACGTTTTCTATTTTTGGGTGGTCATTACAAAATAGAAAATGTCTTTCTTATTTATAAGTCATTTCCATCCGTGATCTAATTTTAGCACCTTAACCACTAGACAGATTCTCTTAAGAATTTTAATTGGAAGATTTCCTCAAAAGGTAATTCTAAAGTTAGATTCTAACAATGGTGTATGACTTGGAATTACTGTGTTTGTGGACTTTGTCCATTGTCCAGTATTCTAAAAACACTACAGAACATAATGTCACAGAAATAGATCCAGTTTCCAAAATCTTAAGTTCCCTTGTGGTTTAGAATACCGGACAATGGACAAAGTCCAAAAACCCAGTAATTCCTCATAAGGTGTTAGGAATTCCAATTGGGTCATGCAGATCCATAATAAAGCCTGGTTTACATTAAGATCATAAATGAATGTTTCCACATATACCCTAAACTATTTGACTAAGTTTTTTTTTTTTTATACTGGAGACTTCCACCAAAAACTGCTGGCCAGTTCTGGTGTTCAGCCATATTACTGCACAATACAACCTGGTTCGCATAACGGAATTTTTTGTGTATTCCTCAAATCACTGAGTAGATTTTCTCAAACTTCAATATGAGGAACTCCCACCAAAACTTGTTGAGAAACTCTGATTTTCAGTTATAATAACCATAATAAATTGTGATTTTGATAAGGCCATACATGGATTTTTCAATGTATGGCATGAACCATTAAAGCTGGTTTTCTTGAAATCTGATTATGCTACATTTCCATAAAACGTTATTGGACAATTTTGATTTTCAGTCATATTCATTTGCGATAAAGCCTGGAGTATATGGACTTTTCTGTGTAACCCATGAATTGCTGGATAGATTTTACTGAAATTAATATGGGAGAATTTCACTAATCTAAATTTTATTATTCCTAGTCTTAGACAATATCAGATTAACTCCATTGGTAATTTTGTGTACTACAATATGGAGTATTTTTTCCAAACTTATTTAATACCTTGCTTGTGGTCTTTGGAACTTCTAGTGCAGCTGTAATTTTCAGATATGTCCATGGATATGACAGCATATATTCTCCTGTACTAGTAAGATATCTGCTTCTCATAACTGACATTTATACACTTTGATACTGTAACGTGGATACCCATTGTTGGGCAACAGCTTGGTAAATGCCTTCCTGCTTAAGCGCGTGAAAACAATATTCAGTTCAATTCAATTTTATTTCATCCATGGATCATTATACATGATATGGGACAAGTCAAAGATTAATATTAATACTAATACTAAATAATAATAAGTATATAATAATACAGAAATAATATGACAATATAATAATACATGATAATAATAATAATATAGCAATACAGAGATAATAATATGACAATATAATATTGATTGATTGATTGATCCACCTCGTCACTGCAGATCACTGTACATGATACATGACAAGTCAAGCCAATTCTGAACATTAACAATCCGATACATAAGCAGATTAAAATTACAATAGTTACAATTCCACTGCTGATTACAATCTAGAACCGGCTAGATACTCCCACTTGTGGAGAATTTGATGGAATGAAC